CTGATGGGCCTTCCTTTATAGGTTACCTGTTTCTTGTCTCTAATAGCTTTTAATACTCTGTTCTTATATTGAATTTTTGGGATCTTGACTATTTTATGCCTGGGTCTAGCTCTGTTTTGGTTGTAGCTGGCTGGAGTTCTGTATGCCTCATATATCAGAATATCATTTCCTTTTCCTTATGTTTGGGAAGTTTTCCTTAATTATTTCTTTGAATAACCTTTGTAGTTCCTTTGTTTGTACCCCAGCTTTTTCATTCACATTCTTTATTCTCAAGTAATAGATCCTTTTGTCATCTTCTCGCTTTTGTATTGTTACTTCTTGTGTCCTTGTTATTTTTAAAAAGTTTTCCCTTTCATACTCCCACATTGTAAAACTGTCCTCCAATTTGGATAATCTATCCTTAGTTTCTTTCAAGCAGTTTTGCCATCTTTCCATAGAGTTTTTAATTTCCTGGTAATCTCTTTGAATCTGCTTCATGTATTCTATATTTTTTTATATTCTTCATCAAATGGTTCTCTCCTTTGTTTGAATTCCTCCCTTATCCGTCTGTGTCTCCTTGAGAGGTGCTTAGTATCTCTTTTATTAATCTTCTTATATCTTGCTTTACTTGGCTAAATAATTCACTTTTTAACTCATCTATGGGGTCCCAAATATATCTCTTTATGTCCACTGGCTCTGTGTCTGATATTGCATGTTTGCTGTTCTCATTTTCCTTTGTATTTACCTGTCCTGGGTCAGTGTTTTCCGGGTTGGGACTTGGGGACTTTTTGTTGTTGCTTCCTCTTCCCATCTTTTTTGCTTCTTCCAGGAGGCCCCAGTTTCTTTCTTTGTTGATTACAATTCTTCTGAAACACACTGGCTAGGTGACCCTTCCCACTGCGGTGTGCTCGTGAGTTGCAGACAGGGACAGCATATACTGGCCCCTCCCCTCCAAATCAGTCAGGCTGCTGTGGCCTGCACTGTATTACTATGCGCCACCTCCCCTCCAGGTCAGTCAAGCTTCTGAGGCTTCACTGGGTTAGTGTGGTTAGTGTGTGCCACTGCTGTAGGGACTTGATTTCAGATAACCTATTGGGCCTCAGCCAGGTCGCGTGACCCATGCCTAGCTCACTCCACCAATCCTGTTCAGGAAGAGAACACCAGACTGAAGTCACTGCTGCCCCTTCTGCTTGCCAGTCCTGCCCGGTCCCAGAATGTCATCTGCTGGAGCACCCCTTTCTGTGGAATGGCTTCACTTCCGTCACTCATCACAGGTCGATGTAGGCACCCCGCCAACCCAGTTCTCCATTCGGCTTGCCGACCCCCTGAACTCAATGTAACTGGGCCTCCAGTGAGTCGAAGCAGTGGGACCTCAGACAGCTTGGCAAGTTGCGGCGGGATCTCAGCAAGTTACTGCGGGACCTTGGATAGTTGGCAAGTCACCCTCTGCTGCGGGAACACTGAACCTTTAGCTGTTCCAATAATAGCACCAGGACTGTATGTTTGGTTGCTTCTTCTCACCTTAATTGCTTCTTGGGACAAGAGAATTCATCTCCCTCTGTTTGGGGCTCCCCACTCTGTATTATGTTGAATTCTAAGCTGGCTATCTCAGGGAGCCTCTGTAGCCAGTTGTTATCTATCTACCATCTTTGCTCCTTCTCTCTCTGTTTATTTTCTTAACAGTTTTCATCCAATCTGTATTTATCTCATTTATTTATTTACCTACTACTCTCTGATCCACAAGAAGTGAGGATGGAATCCATCTCTGTTGTGTTCATTGCATTTCTAGAACCTGGCACAGGGCCTGGTACAGGTTAAATTCTAATACATTTTTTATTGCTAAACTGATTTCCAGCTCCCTAATCTCCATGGTTTACATGTGTTGCAGCTCTATTTCCCAACATAGTCTCTTCATTTCTTGAATCCTACTTTAAAATTCCAAACATAATATATACAGATTATTCATTTCTTTTGGTGTAGGTCACCTAAAGCTGAACATTGTTTGACTCAAAACAATGGTACTCAGGATGGGGTGATCATTCAGTTATCACCATGGCCTCCTAGAACCACCACCTCAACACAGGTGAGGGTAGAACAAATTGTTTCTGAAAGGAAGGGAGACAGAAGTCAGTGTTAAAGAAAAGTGGGGCTGAAACCTGCAAAGGTGTCTCTAACAGTCCACCATTTCCTTGTGTCGTAGATGATTTAAAATCACCTTGTGCATATCGCTTTCTCTGCTGGTGAAATCTCATCCCTGTTGCTTTAATTAGTCCCATATACGTACAAGGATACAGATTTATGAATTCCCTAAAGGTAGAAATCATGGCTGCTTTTTTACCAGTTTATCTGTAGTATCAAGAACAGTGCTGAGCATTAGTAAATATTGATTGATTGATTGATTGATTGATTGAATTAATGGATGATCCAGTTTGGTTGACTCTGAGAAGTAACTTGAGAAATACAGAAACTAAGTTTAAAAAACTAACCTTAACCTTTTCCCGAATATAGTTCTGCTCATTAGTTTGTAATGTGTTCCACCTAAAACGCAAGCCTTTTTTTTTTTTTTTTTTTTTTCCTGATACATTATCAGTTCCGTCTTTCAGGGAAGAATTTCAAGCAAGGAGCAGCTGTTACACCATCAGCCATTCTTCATGACTTGATATCAGAATCTGTCAGGAAAGGCATCAAATTGTAGCTTTTATTGATCTTTTCTTGGCCTTCAACTCGATGGATGGAAAACTGATGTGGTATAAATGATAAATGATACAGGCACAGTACAGACCTCTCCCTTGCCCAGCCCGGCTGCTGGTTCTCATGCACCCCACCCCTTAATACTTCCAGGCAGTCACCATCTGTGGATGATTTCAGATAAGGATAGAGCTGGGTAGAATATTGTCCATTCATTTTTGACAATATTCCCTCGTGTTGGGAACCTGCATCGGAATGACTCAAACTTGCACTTGGGTAAGCTGCGTGTGTGCACCCCTGCTGTATAGGAAAGACCAAGATCAATGCTTCCCTATGTGGGTGGCCAGATTTTGTTGTTAGGAACCCAGAAAGGCCTCCAAGTATGTCTGGCTTTCGTCCTATCTAATGGCTGCAAAAGGGCAGCTGATGCTAAGCTTGCTAAGCTAAGATTTCAATATTTATTTTGAGTATTTAAAGATTCTCAAAAGTTTTACATATAGTAATTTGTTGTTTGAGGATATTTTGGGTTTGTTTTTGTTTTTTTTTTTTTGTTTTTTGTTTTTTTGTTTTTTTGTGGTTCAAGCTGGCCTTGAATTTGCTGTGTAGCCCAGGTTGGCCTTGAACTCAAAGAGATCCTTATACCTCAGTCTCCCAAATGCTGAGATTACAGGTGTGCACCACCAACCCTAGCAGTACTTTGTATTTTTTCTCAGGCACAAATATGAGTTATGCCTGAGGGAGTGACGTGTAGAAGGGTGGCACTTTGCTAATGAGTGATTTCGCTGCCTGTCCTACATCCTCAACCCAGTGCAGTTTTGCTGTCTCTTGAGAGTTGAATAGGGTTTTTATTTTCATGGCATTTTATGGGCAAAATCATATTCTGTATAGTAGTTTCAAATTGAGAGATTAGTGAAGGTAACTGCATTTTTCCCTGCGGAGCTTCAAAACATCAAGGCTGCAACGTTCTACAGTCGCCACCCCAACTTTGGCATGCATTCTTCAATAATACTGCCGGGTCTCTAAATCTTACATAGCGAGTCAGCTAAGTTAGAGACCCCAAGACATTTGTCTTAGAGTACTCAACATCAGTTTTCCATGGTCTAAAACTGTAGTGGTAGCTCTTTTGGATTTGTTTTATTTTGTTTTATTGATTCTTTTACTGCCATTGTGGCAGCTGGCTTTGAAACTTTACCAGGCTAAAATTATTGTACCCATTTTGTATGCATAGAACTTGATGATCTTAATGATACAATTATTTGTGTATTAGTGTAGAATCAGAAATCTTCTATTATGGTCATTTTATTACTATTATTATTATTAGTTTTAACATTATCAAATGCTTGCCTTATTAGTATTAGTTTTAACATTGTTAAATGCTTCCCATTACCCACTGCTGTGCTGAATACTTGAGATGCATTTACTCATTTAATCTTCTCAAACAACAGCTTGAGGAAAGTAGCATTTGATTGTGGTTTCTTATGTGGGTACTCAGAAAACACTGTGTAGATATCGCATGTATGCTCTCAGAGTTGTAGCAAATGGCAGAGGTGACATTTAAACCCAAAGGACTTAGAAAGGCCCTGCCGCAACCTTCTCACTCTAGGAGCCTGCATTCTTATAGTGTCCTGCTACTTAGTGAATGGCTCCTAAGAAGTTTAGGTTGATTTTTAGAGCAAATATCACTGCCCTTAATCAACAGCATAAAGTAGCTCTGCCTTAGGGTTTAACCTAAATATATCATTTCAAACCGTTTTCTGTCCAGATCTCAATGAAAGCCTGCTTTTATGAAGCATGTTTGTAGAGTTCTCCAAAGAGGTGTCCCTGCCCTAAGTGATTTAAATTTAATTTCTGGATTGAGCCCAGGCATGTGACAGCAACAAACACACTTGGCCTGCCTGCATAGCCCCTCTCAGGCTTGCATCTCTTGATTTGTGCCTTGGCATTGTGCCCTTAACTTATTTTGGTGGACAGAAAGGAAATGGCCAGATGGCTGTTGGTGATGTCTCAAGACAAAACACAGCTTAGGACTTTTCTGTCTGTCGCATGATGTCTCCTTTACGAGGACCCAGGAGCAGTTTTTCTCAGAGCCCAAAACTTCTCTAAAGAAGCCGGTTTATTGTTGATCCTACAAGCAGGGATTATCTTATAAATGTGAAAAGTGTTTTTCTCTTTGTAGTGGCTTTTAGAAGGCTCAGAGCCCTATTTTTGCCTTGCCTGTAACAACCTTAAGAGATTGATAATATGCACCCTCATCTCATTCTCTTGTTTTTAGTTGATTTACCTATATCTGATGTTCCCTTGTTCTGAGTGTGTTGTATATCTAATTTTTTTTATTTTATAGGAAAGATGAGTGGCAGATGCAGGTATTGGATTGACCTGAGCTGTCAAAGTCTCTCCAGGTTGCCCTCACATGCAGTTGATTCTGTATCTAATTTAATTTGTTGAGTAAGACATATTTCAGTAGCTTTAAATCTATTTATTTATTTATTTATTTATTTATTTATTTATTTATTTATTTGGGTAAATGGCAGAGGACACTAAACCCAAGGGTGCCTTATCACTGAGCTACAGCCCTGGCCTTTTTATTTTTTATTTTGAGGCAGAGTCTCACTGTATAGCCCAGATGGGCCTCAAATTTGTGATCCTCCTACATCAGCCTCCCAAGTAGTTAAGATTTCAGGCATGTGCCTCTGTCCCCAGCTGCATTAAATCCTTTTTAAAACATAGGGTAAAGGATAAACAAAGTATTTCTGCACCCAGCCCTTCACAGCCTAATCCTTCCATCTCCCATTGACAGAGGGCTAGTTTGCAGTAATCTTGACTCTGGTCTCCTCCCTAGCCTACTTTTCACAACGGTATGATTTTATGGCCTATTTTCCTTGGATCAACAGAACTCAGGGAGAATTGCCACCACCTGACTAGCCATTTGGTGACCATCTTGAGCACTTAGCTCTCTATTCCTGACACGGATAGTGGTGGCACAAAACTGTTGCAAACACACAAGCTAAACACAAACCATTGAAGAGTACCAGGCTTGTCCTCCAGGTATTCCCAGGCAAAGTCAGCCTCTGGAGGAGCCACCTACATGCTGCTGGCACCACCATGGTCTGTTTCCGAAACTAGAGCTGCCAGCGCCCCTCTGCCTGCCCTCTGTGGGTCATGGGCTACTCACTCATCCCAGAGGTCCCCGGCTTTTCCTTGCTGCGCGCTCAGACCTGCACTCTCTGACCTCTGCCCACGGCCTACTTCTGCAGCCACCTGGGCTCAGCTCAGTCTTTGGGCCCTGCTCCTTCCCTTGGTATCCTGGGGTCTTTGTTCTTTGACTCCAGCATCTTTACCAGGTGGTTATGATATAGGCTGCGCTACAAAAACACTTTCAAGTTGTGATCAATGTATAACAGTGTGTTTTTCATACAAGCAGAGATCCAACCATGAGCACACCATTGATTTGGTTAATTCTTCAGTGCAGGCAGTTGAAGTAAAACAGTCTCCTTCCTTGAGTACAGTGGTTCTCTTAGATCCTGTGGGGGTCTGAATACACAACCTTCGTTGGTGCCTGTTTGATCACAGCCGTGGCCTTGCCCATTTCCTGGCACCACAGTGCTCTCTGCCCCCAACCTTGTGGGTCATGGACCTGCCTTGACTTTGAGATTGGTCGGCTGGACTTAGCACTGTGAATCATAAATTATAGCAAAACTAAATCCCATACTTGCTCAGAGTGTGTAATATCACATGGTTTTATATAACCATTTAGCTAAGTAGAAAATATTTTCAGTTTTTTGAAAGTTGCTTTCAGAAATAACTTGTATTTTCTTCTGAATTTGTGCTGATCTTTCATCAAAATTGTAAAATTTGAGCCAAGTGAGGTGAGGCATACCTGTAATCCCAGATTCTCACAGCTTGAAGCAGGAGGATCATAAATTCAAGGCCAGCCTGTGCAACGAAAAACAAAACCAACCAAACACAACAGTAGTATTTGACAGGGTGCCATGAACATCAGAGAGTTGGAACCACTCTTATTTTCGAACTATAGAAGATGAAAAAGAACTTTTATCTTTTTGTCAGTCGTTCACTACATGGACTCTGAACATTAACAGCCCTTTGTTCAGACCCTCAGAAGGTTTGTTTCCCTTTTTAACTTTTTAGCTGCCGCTGGTAGGTACCTTGCAACAGCTTCCCCGTGATTGCAGATCCAAAGGCATTTGAAGTTTCACTGACGTCTGTCTGTCTCGGTGCCTTTGTCCTGAGAGCTCCTCTTGAGCTAGCCTTCTCCCATTTCAAGGCACATGAATCTCAGTCTCCCCCAGACTCATGGACACACGGATACCTGTCCCATCCCACAGTTAGAGCAGCTTACTGCCCCTTTGTTAGAGAGAAATACATCTAGAGGTTGTATCCCTTGTTTCCACTAAGTGAGTTAGGAAAATCACGCCTCACCCCAAAGCTAACATCACCTGCCTGATTGACTTAACCAAAAAGGCTGCTCTCACCCTAGTGCTGTTGAGCTGTGAGTAATCCCTTCACATTGAATTATGCCACCCATTTAATTAAATCAGCTACTTTGGATTGCTTTCTGCAGGCTTTTTGGTCTCAGCTTTTTAATTGGCCCATTGCAGTTATCATTGTATTGCAGTCTTTTGAAACGTAATCTCAGACTGCACTCACTTAATAGATGTGGAGACTTTTTAATTACTGTGGGAGTATATTTCAGCTGCTCACTACCTTCTCGCTTTGATCCCTGCACCAGTTCCAGTTTCCCTTTTGACTTTCACCTTTCAATGCTTCGTCTTCTCGCAGTACACTGAAAATGCGCTTGCCAAGGTCACCAGAGACTTTGCTACTGCCGAATCCAGTTGGCACTTCTTTATTTTCACTTATTTATTTGACATTAATGGAGCCCTGCCCTTTTTTTTGTTGTTTGTTTGTTTTTTGAAACAGGATGTCACTAAGTTGCCCAGGCTAGACTCAGACTCGCGATTCTCCCGCCTCAGACTCCCAGCATATTGGAATTACAGACGAGCGCCACCACAGCTGGCTCTCCACTTTGTCTCATGGGACCGTCTGCAGCACAGGTCCTGCTAAGCACTTTTCCTTCCTGGTGTCACCATGTGCATGTGGTTTTCCTGCTGCCTCTCTGCCTCATCTTCCCAGCTTCTTTTAGGGCTTCTTCTTTCCTGCCTGACCTCTGAACTTGGGTGCTCCCCCAGGTCAGTCTCTGGGACTGTTTTGTATTCATGCTTCCGGGCTGTCCATTCCTGCCCAATGGCTTCAGCTTAAATCAGCAACACCCATATCCGTATGTTCAGTCCAGATCTCTTTCACCAGATTGCTATCCATGGACCCAAATGTCTGTCAGTCATCTCTACTGGGGTGGCCCAGAGGCAACCAAACCCCAGCATGCCCAAAACTGACTTGCCATGGTCCCTCTTCCCCATGCAAAGCCACCAAGCGGATGACATCGCCTTCTGTTTGTAGTGCCACTTCTAGAAGTCAGGATCTCACCCATGTCATCTCTTCCCAAATCCTGCTGGTTCTATGCGCTAATAGATTTCATGGTCAGATTATTCTTTGTTCACATTAGTGTATTTGGCCAATGCCAATCTTTTGAGTGTTTAAGTATATAAATTAATTTAAAATTTCACAACTAGCAAAAGAGATGAGTATACTGTCATCACCCCATTTGACAGATAGGTAACTGAAACTCAGAGAGTTTAATTAATTTATCCAAAGTCACATATCTGGCAAGTGACAGGAGCCCCTAGACACACACTGTCTACAGACTGCTTTACTTTACAGCTCTACGGTCTTGCCATTGTTATACACTATTCCAGTGCCCTTAGAATGTTATTTGAGCAATCAGAAAATCACTTGAGTGATTTGTTTAAAATTCACATTCTGTATGTCTGAAGTAGCTAAGTAGTGTGCATTTTTATAAACTTTCGTATGTTAAAGTGACTTTATTTTTTTATATATGTCTCCTTGGTCTGTTGAAGAGATAGGGATAAGACAGTAACAGCAGTTTGTATGTGGTGGTGGTCAAACCTGTAATCCCAACACTGTGGGAGGCCAAGGAAGGCTGATTGAAAGATTAAGCCCAATTTGAGCAACTTAGAAATTTAGCGAGATCCTATCTCACTAAAAAACAAGAAGGGCTGGGAATGTACTCATAGCTCAGGTGAGGGCTGTGAATTCAATCCCCAGGACTGCAAAAAAGAAAGAAAAAAAAGAAAGAGGAGGAGTAAGAGAAGGATAAAAGAATAAGTTGCTTGGGTTTCTTGAACTCCTTTTTTACTTTTAGTTTTTATTTAATTATTTGGTACCAGGGATTGAACTCACGACCTCATGCTTGCCAGGCAGATGCTTTGCCTCTTTTTACTGTGCAATGTGTCATTTTCTGTCCACAAGCTTCTGGCACTTTCTTGAGAAGGCTTTCCTTGCCTTCTCAAAGATTCCATTCCCTAAGTTCTTGATAAGATTGTATTGAGTTTGTCCATTCCTCAGCTGTAATTAACTGAAATCTGGAGGTTCTGATTTCCCTAATGCTGTAAAGAGCACTTCCCCTCTGTACATCTCTGATGATGTCATCTTTCTGTTTTGAAACAAATTAAGTAGGGGCTGGGGATTTAGCTCAGCGGCATAAGCACCTGCCTTGCAAGCAGGCGGTCGTGAGTTTGATCCCCGGTACCGATAAAAATATATATATATATATATATATATATATATTTTAAAAAAAGAACAAATAAGTAGCATCAACATCAAACCTTCAGTATCTCTCCTACTAAGAAGTCACAGAGGCTGTGACTTCCCAGGCCTTCCACGGTCTTGTTGATGTGCCTTAACGTATGTGACCAGCACACAGTAAACTGGAGCCTTTCCCATTCTTAACACCATAACCTGGGCTCCGGGCCTCTCGGGGCCCTCCTGTCTTTCTGGTGTCCCTGAAATGCATGTCTGCCAAGTCTCTCCTCCTGCAGCATCCTTCCGTGGCTTCCCTGTGGGCCATCATCTTTCACCCTTTAGACCTCTGCAGTTCTTCAAGTTTCTCCGTGGTACCATCACGATTCACACTGTTATTCTTTGCAGGCAGCTTTCTAGTATAAGGGTTGTCTCATAGTATCCCCAGCAAAACTAAGCTCACTGCTGGGGATCCACATATTAACTAGAAGATCGATTTTGCCAAAAACCTAATAAATGAATTTATGTGTGATGTATTATTTTTCTCTTCTCAAATTTTATTACTTCTCATTTTGTGTGTGTAAATGTGTGCAAGTATGTGTGTGATGTGTGTAAACGTGCTTGCTGATACACTTTAATATGCTTTGTGACTATAAAAAGAATACATTCTAATTATAGGAAATTTGAAATATGCTGAAAAGCACAGAGAGGAAAATTAAATTCATCTTTAATCCTACCACCTACCAGTAACTGCTATTAAGAGTAGTATATATCTCATTAGTA